GTTTTCTTTTTCAAAGAAAAATATTTGAACAAATTGAAATATAAGATGAAACACTCCTTAAGATTATGACTTTACCTTTCTGATTGTTTGGAATATTCTCTGGAGAACTATATTATATTGAAGTACCTCTCACAAAAGAGTTCGGTGGGCCCAGAGGTAAAATCAGTTGAATAACAAATGATAGTCTCTTGACTAAAGTATTTTAATCCCTTATTCAATCAAAGACTGAATGACATGTCTTGTACTTAAAGAAATAAAAAATGTTTGAGCTAGATCTCTTACCAGTTTAATCTTTCATTCATAACCACCTTTCCTTCTTAAAGAAGTAGAAATAATTAAGAGAATGAGAGTCATAAGGGTATGTGAAAAACACCTATTTAATCACTGAACACCCATATGTCAGCCTCTGGGAATTACTCCCCAGTTGTGTTTGGATTTACCTTTGGACCTCAGCTCCTTTTAATCACACAGGAGGGATCATATTCTTAAAATATCATTAAAAGTAATAATAATTTAGAGGTACAGACTTCTACCAGCTGTTCTCGTACTGCTAAATCAGGTTTGTGAATCTTTTTTGCTTTGAATGACAATGACCTTGAGAATAACTGTGCTAGGAGTTTCTGGAAAGGAAGATGTTTGAAGTGCATGTCTAGTATATGGTAGATATTGTGGTAAAATGTTTATATAATTTCTCTTATGTAAATTCTACATATTTATTATTCTTATCTGAACATTGATTTCCTCATCTAAAAAAGTGGAGAAACTACCTACGTCAAAAGACTATGATGATCCCATGAGATAATGTATACGAAATTCCTCATAAACTAACCTACAAAGATTATTATGAGAATTAAACAGAATTTATAGAAAGAAAAGTAACTAATATTTATTGAACATCTACCACAATCAGGCACAACAGCTTGTTCTTTCACATACTCTATCTCATTCTTAGCTCCACTTTTTTTTATTATTATTCATATGTGCATACAAGGCTTGGGTCATTTCTCCCCCCTGCCCCCACCCCCTCCCTTACCACCCACTCCGCCCCCTCCCTTTCCCCCCTACCCCAATACCCAGCAGAAACTATTTTGCCCTTATTTCTAATTTTGTTGTAGAGAGAGTATAAGCCATAATAGGAAGGAACAAGGGTTTTTGCTGGTTGAGATAAGGATAGCTATACAGGGAGTTGACTCACATTGATTTCCTGTGCGTGTGTGTTACCTTCTAGGTTAATTCTTTTTGATCTAACCTTTTCTCTAGTTCCTGGTCCCCTTCTCCTATTGGCCTCAGTTGCTTTTAAAGTATCTGCTTTAGTTTCTCTGCATTAAGGGCAACAAATGCTAGCTAATTTTTTAGGTGTCTTATCTATCCTCACACCTCCCTTGTGTGCTCTTGCTTTTATCATGTGATCAAAGTCCAATCCCCTTGTTGTGTTTGCCCTTGATCTAATGTCCACATATGAGGGAGAACATACGATTTTTGGTCTTTTGGGCCAGGCTAACCTCACTCAGAATGATGTTCTCCAATTCCATCCATTTACCTTAGCTCCACTTTAAACATAGGAAAATCAAATTACATAGAAGTGACCCAAACTATTTTTCCCCCATTGGGGAACCTCAACCAAGAATCCGTAAGACAAGTATTTAGAGAGTACTTACAATGTGGCAGGCATTTTTCTTGATTGTAGCGAACAAGACAAGAGTCTGTCTGAGAAAGGTTTTCTGTATAAGCTTCCAGAATATGTTTGAAGGTGAAGTGATTTAATGACTTGTAGGGAAGAAAAATCAATTGTACTGTTTAGGCCATGGTAGGTTTAAGATGGTAGGCATTAGCTATCTTAGCAAGTAGGAGCTAGAGATAACAGGAATGTAAAGAAGGGGACAAGGTCAGAGAGAAAACACCATGAGTCATTCACAGGGAGGTGAAAGAAACAATTAAGCATCACACCAAGGTTGTCAGCCTGAGTGACCATAACTACATTGGGGAAAGACTTCAGGACATTGGGATTCTATTTTGGATGAATGAGGTTTAAGATGTCTACTAGACATTTCTATGGCAACATCCAAAAGCCATATATACAAGTTTGAAGATTAGGAAAAACATGTAGTGAAAGATATACATTTATGAATTGTCAGAGAAAGCTGTTATTTATATCCTTGAACCTAGATGAGATCAGTGAGTAAGGATGGAGGAAAGTTGTCTGAGGACCAATGCATGAGACACTTGAAACTTTGCAGAGCTGAAGAGGAACTGGCACTTGGAAAACTAGAGTGTAACGACCTGGAAGATTTCATTAAGGCCAATGCAGATAGGTTATGATGAGGATGGAGTACTTATCACTGGAGTTAGCTGTCTGATTATTGCTAGAGGCTGAATAATGGCACTTTCAGTAATGTGGATGAAAACCTAATTGGAATGAATACAAAAGTAGGTTGGAAGAACTGGACAAAGAGAACATTGAAACTATGAAACAAAAGCAGAGAAATGAGGTAGCATCCAGTATTATTTTTAAAAGATAGACAAGAGAACAGCACATTTTATATGTCAAAGGGATAGACATAGTATAGAACACTGATGTCTGAGGGGGAAGAACTTGTTGCAATGATGTCTTTGAATGTGAGAATGGGAGATCTCCTGCAGGAGTGGAGTCTGACCTCAATGGGCAGCAGGGACAGCTCACCAGTACTGCATAGAACATGAAGAGGTGGGAACCCTGTGGAAGCTCCCTTGATGGCTTGTTTTAGTCAAGGTCATCAGCCCAGAGTGCATATGCAGGTGCTCAAAGTTTGAGAAGAAACAGCTGTAACAAGAGTGGGAAAATGAATGGAGGAAGGGAATGAAACTCCCAGGCATTTGAGCCCCACTTGATGTTAACATGATTGTTTTTCTTCTGCCATGCCAAGGTGTGCATGTAACAGCTTTGGAGTCAGAAGACAGATAGAACTGTGATTCAAAGGTTGCTGAGTTCAATGAAACATGGTAAGGGAGGGACACTTAAGTGTTCACACAGAATTCATTCATCCCATCCCAAGCCAGTGGTAAGAGAGGAAGTGAAAACCACCACTCCAGCTTCAGGAAAGAGGTAGGTTTCATTTAGAGCAAGAAAGTGAAAAACAGATGTTGAAGATAAAGTAGATTTGGCTACTTTAGTACGAACTGCTTCAGTGGAGTGGTGTGGCCTGCTTGGAGTGGGTCAGGGAGCAAGTGGGAAAATAGAAAATTGGCAAAATTCTTTTTAAAATTCTTTAAATTGTGCTAAAGGTGCTGGTGTTAGGTGAAAGTTGAAGACAAAGCTTGTGCGCATGTGCTGTGTGTTTTAAGATGGTGGAGATTACAGGATGCATTTTTATCAGTGGAAAATACCCAGTTAAGAGGGTAAAAAACTGACACTAGTAAAGAGAAGTGGAATAAATGTGTAGATCCTGGCAGAAGAAAAGCCCCTGAAAAGATCAGGAAACAATGGGAATGAGGCATAGTGGAAGGACTGGCCTTAGAACAAACTCTGTGGAAGAAGGCTGCAGATAGGAAGGTTGGTGAGGCCATGAAGTAGGGCAAGTTAGTTCTCTTTGGGATGAATCCATTTTCTCTTTTCAAGTATGAGGTGAGAGTTAGGTAGGGAGAGAACATTGGAGCTCTGATGAAAGAGAAGGGTGAGGAGAAAATCATGAGGTTGGGAAAACAAATTTACTAGGGAATTGTGGCAGGTTTGTTTGGCAGTGTACAGTGCCTGCCTAACATCTGTGGTCTTGTATCTGAAGTGAGATCAATGTGGTTGTGTAATTTTTCCCCATCAGCTTTGATGCTTGGATGCAAGTATAAGTGGCTTAACAAAGAGTGAGGTCTTTTCCAGGTGAATATGACCAAGGAAGCAAGAATCAAAGGAGTCAGGCTGCTTGCAAGAAGTGGTGCATGTAGTGTACCACACAATCTAAATATGCTTCATATGGAAGATACACACACACACATACACACCATGAAAAATGGTAAGGTAAGGGACTGAACATGTGGGTGAGGTTAAGGAACTGTCACATAACTGGGCAAATGAGCTCGAATGGCAGCAGATGATAATCTTAGAGGTGAGAATACGAAATTAACTATCCAGAGATGGTATATGGACAATTTCCCTCAATTGTTTCTTTAAAAAAAGCAGGGCTGGAGTGTAGCTCAGTGACAAACTACTTGCCTAGCATGTGGGAGGCTCTGGGTTGAATCTCTAGCATCACCAAAAAAATAAAAAAACAAAAAACTTAACCAAATAAGAACTTTATGATCAAGTTGATGTTACTTTTGACTATGTTAATAAAAGCACTTTGTAGCTTGGTGTGATGGTGCACACATGTAAATCCAAGCATTCAGGAGGCTGAGGCAGAAGAATCTTGAGTTTGAGGCCAGCCTGGGCTATATGGCAAGACTTGTAAAACAAAAACAAAAACAAAAGCCCCAAACCATTTTCTGACTAATTACATTACTGGTTTGGCAAGGGTTGGTTCGGTGAGTCTGAGTTAGTATCATTTGACTTGAATTTCACAACTGATCTCAATGTAAAGTGCTGCAAATCATGTTACAGGTTGAGTATCCCTTATTAGAAATGCTTGGGACCAGAAGTGGTTTCAATTTGGAATATTTGCATATACATAATGAGATATTTTAGGGATGGAAACCAAGCTTAAACACAAAATTCAATTATTTTTCATGTACAACTCAGGCTGAATTTTATACAATAATTTTAGTGCAACTTCATTTGACTATGTACGACCTGTCCCATGAGGTTAGTAGTGGAATTACCCACTGTGACATCATGTCTGCCTGTGGTCATAAGGTTCTGGATTTTGGATTTTCAGATTATGGATGCTTAATACTGCACAGGGGAACACTACAGCTTATAAGGGAAATCTATAAAAGTTTTGACATTAAATATGAGGGAAACATTTTGGTCTTAACATTTGACATAAATTTTATGTGCCAAGATTAAAACAAGAAAGTGCTCATTTCATTAAGTGGAAATTTTCCAATGAATTATTATGAGCAGCTTTAATGATCAAGAAGAATTCTGAGAGTGCAAAAAAAGTTAAAGTGTTTTGCTGTTACAAATTTAAAAATAAACATGAACAAACATTGAGTAGCAAACTTTTATTCCACTGTCTTATCACCTAAAATTCTAAGAAAATAGCAAATATTAAATGTAAGAAATTAAGTGTGACCATCTGTAGTATAGTGACAAATTAGTGGTATGGAAAATTTCAATTCATTTAAAAAATAGTCAAGTTTCATTTAAGTAATAGTTAAATTTGGCTTTATCTCTGTAGATAATTATACTTCCATTTGGCTTATAGGATTCCATTCTCTCCAACTGGCAGCTGTGTAGGATCGAGCCCTACTTTCTTCATTGACACAGCAATGTCGAACAAATAGTCATAACATTCACACCTGTAAAAGAAAAAGCAAAAGAAACTAGAGGTGTTTACTGAAACAGAGTTCTCCAATGCTAATACACCACCTCTTTCTTTTCTACCTAATGAACTCTGCTTTGTTCCTAATACTTGTACATTTTTTCACTTAGGTATGGGCCAAAATTTTATTTTGCTCCCCCAAAACTTCAGAACATGCAAAAGAATCACCTAGATTTGAGCAAATATATTATAAACTTCTCAAGAAATAAGGGAGTTTTAAATATACTACTTACAAAAATTAAAATTTTTTTAACTACATGGCATTTTTTGAAATAGAATTTATATTACGTAGGATCTGTGTCTCTTTCCTTTTTGCATCAAAGTCCAGAGCTGTCCTAAATAAATACTTCTAAATGAGTCAATACATAGTAGTAAAAATCAAATATCATGAAATAATGATAAGACTACTTAAATTTAAGGAAAAATACTTCATTTAAAAATCATCAAACATATTTTGTTTGTTTTCACATTCAGAGTGTGCCTTGTCCCAAACACTCTTGAATTCAGGCTTACATGGTTTTGGCCTTCTCCCATGTCTCTCCCCACACATACACTCCGTGGCGCCTGACCAGCACGGCACAGGAGTCCGGGTACTCATTCATTGCACAGGCCATCCGCTCTTTGAGGTCTTTCTCCTCAGGAGTGTTCTCAATAATGGGCACCACTAGCATATCATCATACCTGTAAGACAGAGGAGCCACTCTGGCTAAAACAGAGGTATTTATATATACAGTATGTAACTTTTTGAAGTAACCAGTTACTCTTTTTTATATCTGGAAAGCCACTCCAAATTATGAACAAGATGTTGCATGTTATTCTGTGTATCTTGCATAAACATCTGTACCAAAAGATACCTTAGGAATTTGGCAGGCATTCCTAAGTATAAGTGGCAGAAATTTGAATGGTAAACCAAGACCTAACAAAGAAATCATCAAGATCATACAAGCATTTCCGTGAAGCACAGACAATCAGTATTTTAACAGGAGATGGGAAATGATACATCTCAGAATCAGAAGTGTAGAAAGAATTAAACATTGAACTATATATTAAGTAGGAATTTCCCAACAACACAAAATCATTGTATTTCATCTCTGCAGGACTGCAAAGTGTCTTGGGCAGATGAACCAATAAATATAGGTGTGATCTGTGGCACAAGAAAGCAGGATCGCTATTGAAGGTATGGTGATACCTGCAGAATTTCCTCAAATCTATGGCATTAGAACTTCTTTTATTTCCACTTTGTTCTCAGTAAATACATGTGATGAGGTCAGACTATAATAAGGTTCAAGAAAACATCTTAGTCACTAGTAAGATTGTTAAGGTCACTTATAATCAATCAAAACTCAGCCAAGTTATCCTTTTTACACAAACTTCTCTTGCATTGTTAGTATAATACCCACCATTTCACTGCCTCTGAAGAGAGTAAATTTAAAGTTTACAATGTTCCACCTAAAGTATAATCAGAAATTACTACCTTTAGGGTGGTTACAGAGTAAGTGGTTGTCATGCCATTACTAACTTGGCCAACCATTGTCATTAACAGTATGGAGTTGCCCATTATTTCACTTTAGGTAAAAGAGGTAATTATAAAACATCTTTACAAAAGGATGGGATGAACTGCTAGTCTCAAATCTTTCCTAAAATTGGCCAGAAGAGCCACAAACTTATATTTTCCTCCAATGTTCATTGAACAATCAGAAATATTTCCAGGTGAAAAATAGTTTCATAGCAAATTAAGACCCAAGAGCTAATTCAAGCCAATCCTCCATTTCACGGACAGAATACTGATCAACAAGTTACATAAGAAATAGAGCAAGAAAAAAGAGCAACATTCTTTACCACAGGCATGTTGTTTCCAAAAAGGGCGGGGAGAGGGCAATCATATTGATACATGTCAACCTTACCTGGTAAGAACTAAGTATTTTAAAGATGTTTTTGTTTAATTTTTTTCTTTGCTGGTGCTAAAGACTGAACCCAGGGTCTTCTGAATACTTAGCATACACTCTACCACTGAGTTACACACACAAGTCTTCTTCTGTTTTTTCTTTCTTTTTTTTTTTTTTTTAAAAGATAGACTCCAAAATAGAATAGAGCCTGGATACAGTGGCTTACACCTGTAATCTCAGCTATTCTTGAAGTGGATATCAGGAAGATCGTGACTTAAGGACCACCCAGGGAAAAAGTTTTCTGAACACCATTTCACCATCTGAACAAAAAGGCTGGCATGGTGGCACACACCTAAGGTCCTAGCTACTTCAGAGGCTGTAAATAGGAGGATTATGGTCTGAAGTTGCCTCAGGCACAAACAATGAGATTCTAACCAAAAAGTAGCTAAAGCATAAAGGGCTGGGGGCATAAAGGGGTGTACGGCGCCTGTCTAGCAAGTGTAAGGCCGAGTTCAAACCTCTTAGCCAAAAAAACAGGGAATGTTGAAGCTCCATCCTTTCTTCTTTCAACTTCTGTGACCTTTCTTTTGATTATTTTTGGGATTCTCCCTAGACTCAGATAAAGTATCACTGCCTCCTAAGCTGTGATAATGACTGTGTTATTCATTTCCCAAAGAGGCCAGAATAAAATTGCAAAGGTTACCTTGTTACCTCACCCTTCCCTGCATTTTTCTGACCTGTTTTTATTTCTAAACCTCAGAAATCAAATGCGTATGAAATTGACTTGCAAGGACTCTTCTTCAAACCCTAGATATGGAAACAGCAATATGGGTTATACTTTCTTTGGTATGTATACTTTTTATAATTTAAATATTTAACTTTTGTAAACAGGATTTTTCACAGTGCTGAGGAATGCTTTAGGCACACAATAAATATTAACTGAAATCCTATGAAATTAATTTCTCAGTACACTAGTTTAAACACGTACATTCTATTATATGCACTAAAGATACTGCTTTAAGAACACTTCAGTAAAACTGGCACCATTTCCCTCTAAACGAGGCAAGGGAAAATCAGGCCCTTTAGGAAATTAAGAAGGGTGAAGGCTCAGAAGAATGCTACTAAACTTAAAAGCAAGGCTTAATTGTATCTGGGCACTGACAACATGTTTCTTCGTGCCACTACAGTCTAGATTTATGAATTAATGACCGTATTTTTGTGGGCTGGTGGATTTATCTAAACTTACCTTAAGGTTAGTGTATTATACTCATCATCTGTGTCACCTCCTACACTAAAAATTCTGATATCAACTTAATTAAAATGATTAGAAAAGTTTTATAGTTATGAAAATATTCTAGAAATACTAAGTTAAGTTGACGTGAAGTTTACATAGTAGTTCAGGCTTCCTGAAGGTCAAGTGAATGTGAGGAGATCTTGCTTTCTGGGTGCCTCAGTACAGGGATGTAAATTTTCCATTTCTACAGAAATCTCAGCCAAGATTTTTTTTTCATTTTGACAAACATTTCATTATTCTTGCTGCTAGCAATTGCTTTACCAATGCTGGGGAAGGGTGGAGGAGGATCTGTGTCACTGAGAACAGATCTGGGTGTATAATAAGAAGTGGGATATTATTTAACATGGATTCTATAGCATCTTATCAGATGCATAAAATGATGAGTACCTTATTTATCAAAGAGAAAGAAAAGTACTTTTCAAGTTATTTAAGCAAAATAAGAAGAATACCTGTAATACCCTCCTGAGGTACATTTCCGTATCCCTTTTATCATTTCCTGATGTGTAATTTTAAACTCCCGTCCTGGAAAGAGAAGGGTGGCCATGACAGCAGCTTTAGAGTGGGTATGAATCACTGCACCTGCTCCTGAAGGAGGAAGAATAAAGTCACATGATCAGGAAAGTTACACCTTAGAAAGAAAAAAAATGCATACACACACACATAAATTCGTACATACGTGGTTGTGGGGTAATTATTTTCTGGTATGGAATAATTTGGTAGTGGGTATGAGGGTAAGCAGAATTAAGGGACATTCTTCATAGGCCGATGTGAGGCTGAATGACTTAAAACACCTAAAGTTCCTGTACATAGTAGGCATTCAGGAAATGCTAACTAAAATAATAATTATTATTATTTAGGAGCCTATTCTGCAAATATTCATTTTTTTGGTGGTACTGAGATTTGAACTTAGGACTTTGTGCTTGTGAAGCAGGTGCTCTATAGTTTGAGCCACACCTCCAGCCCTTTTTGCTGTGGTTATTTTGGAGATAAAGAATCACTTTTTGCCCAGGCTGGTCTACACTGTGTCCTCCTACTTTATGCTTCCCATCATTGCTGGGATGACAGGCACATCCCATCACATCCAGCTTTTGTCCAATGAGATGGGGGTCTCATGAACTTTTTTGCCCAGGCTGGCCTGCAACCATGACCTGCCTGATCTCAGCCTACTGCAGCTTGGGTTGACAGATGTACTTCATGGAACTAAGCTATTGGTTGAGAAGGGGTCTGACGAACTATTTGCCTGGGCTGACCTTGAACCATAATCCTCCTTATCACAGCCTCCCAAGCAGCCAGCTAGGATTATAGGCGTGAGCCACTGGTGCCCAGCTCTTCAATATTTTTTATGCCAAATACATTTTCTATATACCTCTCATTGTATAAGCATTCATGAAAAGAGGAGTACACTGGCTTTTTTTCAACTTCTTAGATGCTGGAGGTCCACTTATATCCTGTTCATTTATGTCACAAATAAACATGTCTTCTGGCTATGTACAGAAGGAGAGAAAGAAAAAAGAATGGTCTTATAATATCAACTAGAAATGTGCCTCTTTCTGTGTGTGAGATATATATATATATATAGTATTAAAATATGTATACATATTTAACTCACTTTTTAAATATTCATGTAGCTTCTCAAAAGTTTTAGTAATACTGAGAAATAAACATGTTTTCTACTAACAAAAATTTGTCTGTTAGTAGGAGAAGAAAATTGATATGGAAAACTAATATGTAACAATGCTTTAGTTTAACATTTTCCTGTAATTTCACAACTAAATTTCAGGAAGACTATATAAAGAAATCAACAGTCCCAGATTGGTGTTATATCTTTTTTCACATCTCATAAGATAAGTGGAAAATTTTAGTAAAATTTTCTTATCTCCTGAGAAACTTAACTGTTACTCAGAAAGGTTAAAATTAATGTATATTAAAGTTAACATTAAATATATTAATAATGTATTCTTAAAGTTTTAAAGAAGCATATAGGTCCATAGATTTTTCTTAGTAATGCCTGTGCATTTCTGATTTGCACCTTTTATTTCCCAGGGATTATTATAGATTATAATATAAATGTATTTTTAATAAAATAGCCTTTCTTTTTTTCTTGCTTTAGACAAAAGTATTATGAGTTTAACTGGATTTTGGATATTATTATTCAGCATTAATATACAATGATATTTCCCAAAGTTTTGAAATAAAGTTTTAATTGGAATAGCTTTGCTAACTATAAAATATGAATTAGTTTGGGTCAACTCAGACCTTCAATCTGATGAGCCCACTAAGCTGATAAAGGTAGTGAGATAAAGATATAAAATTACAATCATTCTTACTTTGCCCTCTACAGGCTGAATGAGATTTCAAAACATACATTAGTTTCATAAAGGATTCTTAACATGGTAAAAAACCACTTAATAATTAATCAACAAATATTTAACAGGTACTCAACAAATGTTTTTTGATTAATTATTTAAATGATCACAAAATAACCACCCTTCAAAACTAATATAATCTTTTAGGGAGAATTCCATTTCTCAAAACAATAGACAAGTAGAGAAGAAGGCAGTTGGGTTTAAGAAGAGCCCTTTACCATACCTGAATTCGTTCCTTTTGCACTCCTGAAGGAGCAATGTAGATTTCATTGCTGGTAACACAATAATAGAAAATGTTATTTATTTAACTAACTTCTGCTTTTGCAAAGAGAAGTTTCTTCTTGCAGTCTAATCCTAGTGTTCATTATAAATTGAGTCGTACAAACAGCTGCCAGGTTTAATTAAGGACTTTGGCTGCACAGAAAGAATACCAAACTATTTAAATATTTTTGCAATTCTGGTGGTACAATAAGCTTTTGGTAGCTGCTTTTTCTTCCACATTTTCCTATATATTTATTTCTTTTCATGGTGCAACAATGTTAACCAGGCTTTTATCTATTTAGAGGAAATAAAAATCTGAGCAGGTGAGTTTTTAGCATCTTATTGCATGAATAAGCAGAGTTTATCTTACAACATGTAAAAAACAGTCATTCTAAAATCCAGTCGGGGAAAATATGCTGAAGAGGAGTAGACTTCTGTCATGCAAAGCCCCAGGTTTCATCTCATTGCATGAAGTGCTCTTAATTACAAACCATGAAGTTCAGAGACCTCTGCTGGACAGTTTCTTGAATTACAATAGTAACACTGGGCTACTTCAGAACCATTTCCTATTTGCAAAGCACATGTGTCTTAGAAAATATTTGGCAATAAATCTAAAACAATTGCAAAGTGTTAAAAGTATGAGGTTCAGGCATGGTGGCTTATCTATGTTTGTCATCCCAGCATTCAGGAGGCTAGGACAGAAGAATCATGAGTTCGAGGCCAACCTGGATTGAATAGCAAGCCACCGTCTTAAAAAACAAAACAAAAGGCTATAAGTAGAGATCTGCTGTTAGGGGCATGCTATGTCCTACCTGACCATTTTCAACAAGGTACTCTAAAGTACTCTCAAGTTTGATTTGCAAATAAACTTCAAAACCCCTAACTTCTCTCCACCCTCAACAAAGCTCCTTTGGCTCACTTACCAGTTTCAACTGCTGCCAGAGAACATTAATGAGCTGCCACATAAATACTAGCCAAGGAAGTGCCAGAACCTCGTGCCCTAACTTCTGCCACTGACGTACAGACACAGGGTCACTGAACAATTCATTTTCTTAGTAAAAACGAAGGATGGCCTGTATTAAGCTGTCAAAGTTAGTTGTGAATAAGCTTGGAATTAACCAAAAATTTAAGAGTAATGATAGTTTCTTTTAGGCTCCAATGGTGAATTAAAGTCTAGAAAACAAATGCCTGGTAATTTTGGGAAATCCAATGCACAGAAAGTACCCACACACATTAGCTCTCCAGGAGTAGCTATGGTTGTAGATCTCTGCTGCCCAGGCCAACAGAGGGGCATTCCTCTGGAACTAGGAGCAATGGGGAAGAATCATACTGTTAAAAGTGGCCCTTTACAAATACCTGTGATCTAAATCTTCCATCCTTGTCTAACAGGGAATTTTTGGAAAAGTGGTTGTAAAGAGTCCACTTACTTCCACAGGTAAGTGGACTTGTAGGTCTTTCATGTAGGGAGAAATTTATGCAGTCCTGGGAACTATGCTAAATAAAGTATAAAATGGCATGCTGGTTAAAAAAAAAACCCATCTACAAAGCAGGAAAACCATGGGTATTTATTGTTTGTTCAAGTGATGACACGCTGTTTTTGTTATTGCCTTTATAAAATGGGAATCAATTTAGACTTTGATCAACTTTGGGCAATTAAAAGATTAGCTAAATAAGTTTTAGACAAAGACATATTGACAGTTACAAAGCAAGAGATACAAATACAAAGATGACAGAACTTTTGTCTTAGGAGAGAAATACACCAAAGACTAAAGTGAAGTGTTTGGTTGTAAGTGTTGCTTACAACAAAAATAACAATCATTTTGAACTTCAAGGTATTAAGTTTTAGAATTTATTTCTCTAAAGAGAATGTGGTAAGTAGGAGGACATCTATACATCTATATTCAGTTGTATTTATTTTTATTTGCTCTCTGGCTATTAAAAATCATTTAAATGTTTCAATGATCTCATCTGTGATGTGGGATTGTTAACTGTAATCCTAATAGCGTGCAACAGGATGCATAACAACATTACACTGTGAAAATAGGAACTGCTAAATTTGGATGGTAGGGACCAAACCTAAACACCATGGCTGCTAAGAATTACCTTGATTACTGCTCTTTTCTTGGCCCTCTGTTTCCTCTTTTTGGTTTACTCATAAGTGTCTAAGCTGTTTTATATTCATCTCTTGGTACCACATTGGTAGTAGAAGCTGGAATGGTATCGGCCAAGGCTTGGAATCAGTCAGTAGTTCTATATTCCCAAATAATTTATTATCTGTATTATTCTGGAAGCACAATCTATACTTCACTCCAAATTTATTTGCCTTAAGAGTCAAAGAAAACCCAACTATCACCACTAACATGAGAATGATATTGCTGATAAAAATAGTAATATAGCTCATGAAGGCATTTAAATATTAGGGACAAACTTCAACATTTTATTACAAAATAACCGTTTTACTCTGCTAAGTTCAAGTTTAGTAAGATTCTAAATACGGTGCCATAAAACCATGGCTCTTTCCATCTGTCACCTCCAGGAGGAGCTCCTTGCCCATTAAGACTATGTAAGGAAAAAGCATTTTACACATGATGCAACTTTCCTATAAATTGATTGCAGTGCTGTAAAAGCCATTAAATTTTAAAAGATGGGCCAATAAATGGTTTATGATGGCCACACACAGTCACAGTTCATGAATTAGTAAAGTTCTGCTAGAAACAACAGTCCGTTATTACTTCATGCTAAAAAGCAATTCCCTTAAGTTCTGCATTCTCCTATTGTAATTGTTTTTCTAAAGCCACTTAGAAATGATTATTTTAGCTCAGTTTGGTAGCAGTTCTATTTTTGTACATAGAAAAACTATTTCTACATATGAAATAAACATTAGTTAACTAGAGGTAACATTTAGAATATGATTTATTGTAAATAATACAGCAAGGAAATGAAATTACTGGCACTCAACCTCTAAATGCATAAATGAAACAAGAACAAATTGTTGCTAGCATAGGTTTTGCTGTGAATAGATCAACTTGATTGCTTGCACAATGCTGAGTTGACACATGCGAGAGAGGCACAGATGGATAGGCAGCTCTATCACCTGGAACACGACCTCACTGGACTACGTACAGAACCCCCCTGCTATTTCCCATCGTTCAATCAGTATTTCATGAATTACTTGGCAATTTGAAGCAGATGAAGTGACAAATGGCATCATCTTGTAGTATGCCATCAAATTCCTTTTGTTCAAAACGTTCTGTTATTTTTTACAGTCCATTTCTTCTTATACAATGCAGCTGCCTTGGGGGCACGAATATATACATAATTAGCATATAAATATTTTAATACTCTGATTTTATTAAAGAAAGTGAATTAGGATAAAGAAATAAAGCAGCATCACTCACTTTAACATTCAGCTTCCAGAAAATAACACTTCTAAAACATCTCAGCAGGAAAAATATTAATCCTATTTCAGAAACTCTTGAGAGCATGAGACTCTACAATCTTTATTTCATTGTTAGTATTTATTCTTCATCTTCTTGAAGGAAGGACATTGGCTAAGACTGACTAACAATAAAAACTATTTATTCTTTCTGTTTCAACTTAAGTCCAGTACTTCTTGTTTTGTCCTCTCTGGAATAAAGACCAGCAGGTACTGTGTCTATTAATAATTCCTTTTGTTCAAAATGTTCTCATTTTTTATAGTCCATTTCTTATTTTGCAAGGCAGCCTCCCTTGGGGTATTAGAATAGCTTCATTTTAAGCCTTTCTTTTTTGACTTAATAAAACAAAATTTTTATAATTTTTAATGGTCAATCTGGTTAAGTAACTTTGAAATATGTATCTGAACCTTTCAAATAATCTTGTCTACACAGAGAGACTCCTTTATAATTCCAGACATACGAACATACTTGGAAGATTATCTAACTTTGGTATTCCAAAGACTGAGAACCAAATTGTTCTGATTAGAGATTGTTGTTTCTAAATCTTTAGATATTTATCATAACAGTAAGTTTTGCACATTGGTTCTATTCAGTTTTGCAACTATTCACATGGCTAATTATTTGAACTCAGGACCTTGTGCTTGCTAGACAAGTACTTTACTACTTGAGCTACACTGTAGTCCTTTTTTGCTTCAGTTATTTTTCTGACAGGATCTCATGTTTTTGCTCAGGGCCAACCTTAAACAGTGATCTTACCTATGCCACATAGTTTAGTATCACAGACATGCACCACTGTGTTCAGCTTTTGCTAAGATGGGGTCTCACTGTTTGCCTGATATCCACCTCTGAGTAGCTGGGATTACAAGCATGAGCCACCATGCCCAGCTCATTTGATCATTTAGAAACTAAACACATACAGTGTCACATAAAACTGATATCAGCTGTTCTTTGGACATAACACAAGTTAGGTGGTCCATGTTCTACTTGTATAAACTCCCAGAGATGACATCAACCAGAAACTTACCCATGTTTCAAGCTAATTCCTCCTCCGGTTCCCGTGACCCAGCCCAAATGGTAAAACTGTTTGCAAAGTTCTGGGATGAGGTATCTTGGATGTTCCTTGTCCTTAAAAAGAAGATAATGATTTTTAATGACACTTTTTAAGGACATCATTTTATCAAGTAATTCTTCTAGTTGGCATTTCTAATAAGAAGTCAATTTAAGGAAGCTTAAGAGAATCTACCTAAGAGAAGATACAGTTAGGGGAAAAAATATTGCAAGCACATTTTGTTTTTTTAATGTTTAGAAAGTGGATTTACCAGTCAGGGATGGTGGCACATGCCTGTAATCCTAGCTACTCAGGTGGCAGAGGCAGGAAGGTTGTGAGTTTGAGGTCAGCCCATGCAATAATTACTGAGATACTATTAAAAAAAAAAAGGGGTTGGGGGTGTGGTTCAAGTGGTAGAGTGCTTGCCTTAGTAAGTGGGAGGCTCTGACTTCAAACACCAGTACCTCAAAAGAAAGAAAGAAAAAAAAAAGGAAGTGGAGTTACTATATTATTTGGCAACCTGGTATTATTCACTATTTGGCCACATGGTCCAACATTCCATAGAACAGGTTGCAAGAAGAGAAAACACCCAACATATATTCCAAAGTATCTATTGAAATGGCTGAAAGAACAGAAGAGAATCTAGCACTAGCACTCAAGGAAACATGCTTCAGTCCATCCAGAAAACTCACTTATGCAAAACACCTTGTTAAAATATGGTATACACGAGATAATAGGATAGGCACATGCTCAACATATACGCCTTTTTCTTTTTGCATGAATGTGTGTTTGTGTTCATTTTGTTTCTTTCTTTCTTTTTTTTTTTTTGAGACAGGATCTCAGTATGTAGCCCAGACTGGTTTTGAACTTTAAATCCTCCTCCCTTAGCCTCCTGAGTGCAGACGTTTGCCACTGTACCCAGCTTCAATTTTATTTTTAAAAAATGACTCGTCCTTTTTTGAAAGTGATTTTATTGTTTTCTCTTATTACAAAAACAATATATACTTGCTATGGAAAATAAAATCAAGCAAATAACAAAAAAACTACTCAGAAACAATCACAATTAATACTTAGTGGAACTATTTCTATGAAGATATGTATTTATAGGAATATACACATGAAGGCTGAGATTAGCATCAACCCTTACTCATACATAGCTCAAATAATTATTTTCTTAGAAAAAATAGTTTCCTCTTGTGTTTTTACAGTTTCATAAAAAAAAAAACAGTAAAGTAGAAATACAATTCATTCCATGATTGACAGTAGAAGACATATAACCCTTACCTTGAATACAAGTAAATATACTGAATAATTATATCAAAGTAAATTGCTGAACTGACCATAAAGAAATGAAGTGAGGCTCCCTGGAAGAAAGGGCTCCAAAGCCAGGATTTTCCTGAAGGTATGAGCAAAGCTCTAGAGATGTGGAGCTTCAATTTTCACAGTTATGCAAGCCTTTAGAAATACGAAATAAAGTCTATGGTTTGCTCAAAATGGGTAGATTGAACAGAAAATTCACATACAAGCTTGAGATCCTAATGGGCTATCCCCTTAAGGAAGGAACAATCAAGAAACAGACTCCTTGTTCAGAAAAAGCATAACATGGAAGTTTGGCCCCGGGTAGAGGGGAAGAAGCACCCTTGAGTTCAGAGAAGGATCATTACTTAATGGACTGAATTCTTACCTACTTAACTGGATACCTGAAATTATGGGATTTTCCCAAATTTGCTGCTAATGTTCTCCATACACATTTCATTTTTGGTAAGTATTATGAATGATAATTGATGGAATAACCTTAAAAATATAAAATTTGGAGCATGGGAACCTACAAAGTTTTTGAAGTTTTAATCAACAAAGGCTTATTAGTTGACAGACTTAAAGTCACCCCCCCATTATACCATTTGTTGTTTACATGACTTTGGGCCTCAGTTTATTCATCCATAAAATGAGAATGCTATGAGGAATGAACGAGATACAATGGATATAAAGCACCCAGCACAATGTCAGTGTTAGTTTTCTTCTCATTTCAAAAAGTTAAAATTTCTTAAATTAAAATGTTTTACTAAAAATTAGTAATAAAACAGATATTTCTTTCCTTAAGAAATCTAGCCAAAATTATCTATGTCTGTATAATTTGCTATTTCCTCTTTTAGGGACATAAATGATATTTTAATTACATATTAAAATACAGCTAAGGTTCTTGCAATTTTCCTATCCTTAAACCAAATTTGCACAGCAAATTGCAAACATTACAGGGAAATGTCTGTTATTACAGGTATCTCCTTTCTGTCACTTCCAGTAGAGATATTAGAGCAATTAGCCAGATTCATGCTACAGGAACAACAATGAGAAGGCAGCTGCTGTTAACACATTTTTATTCAGTCACACCCGCAAAATTACAATTAAAATAACCAGTTAAAAGGCGTCAATAAAGTTACACTTGGTGAAAATGCAGTCATATAAACTGTTAAGAATAAGAAAGCAAAAATCAGAATATATATTTTAATAAGAACTGACAAGAAGGAAATGTTTAGTTAGTATCTAGTTCTCCCCCAATGCAACATTATTTTTCTGTTATTGTTAGATCTGGTTTTCAATTAGAATAATAATTTTAAACATATATTTAAAGACTGTTCACAATCAACCATTTACAGTAGAGGTTCTATAGTGAGAAATGCATTTAACAGTATTTAGTAGATATTAAAAATATTAAAGACTAAAAGATTCTGATTCAACACTTTATTTTTCCAATTTTTTTAATCTAGTTACTTAAGGAAACTTAGCTTTCATTGCCACTGAGATATTTACTCAGATAAAATTCCTTCCCCTATCTTTTTTTTTTTAACTTAAGCAAATACTGGTATGTATTAAGATATGCATTTTTCTAAGAGACTCTCAAACAAATAAATCAATGTGTCAAGCTCGGGGGAGAGGGGTAGCTCAGTGGTAAAGTGTGTGTTTATTCGCATGTGCAAAGCCCTGGGTTTGATCCTCAGCACCAAAAAAAAAAAAAAGAAAAAAAAATTGTCAAGGGTAGTTAACCCACCAGTTAAAGAGGAAACCAGTAAGATGTTAGATCTAGTTGAAAAGAGAATTTAACATAACCATATACTGAATTTAAAAATAAAGCAAAATTGGAATATCCACAGGTAACAATAAATTGAATCTCCACTGCACACCACTTGCTTTGCTATGAACAACAGTCACCGGCATTACTGTCACGACTCTACACTTTACATAAGTAACTATCTTAAAGATAATTCCAAGATACCCCATAATGTTTTCTATTCACTTCTGTGTCTCACAACTTTTACTGACAACCAGCCTTCAGAAGGAACTGAGGTAGACCCAGCAAAGTTGTATTTTCTCTCTGTGCTGGGTCTCTTTCTTTCTGCACATCTATTTTGTTCTTATCTCTGTGCACATTGGTTTTCTTTGCAATGTCACCTTCACTCAAAAGTGCTCTCTCTCCCTTTCTTTCTCCACAGTAAAAAACCCTCTCCTTTCTATCAGTCACACATTCACTAAAAGTCTAAGACATGGAGCCTGGTTTCAGCTTTGCCCCCATGGCTGTAAGCCCTAAGGCCATCAGTGACACTTTCTGGTTATCAGTTTTCTTATATTAATAATCTGGGTCTGTGACTCTCAAAACTTCTGCAATTCAACATTAGTGGTTATCTTTTTTAATTTTAGGGAGTGACATAAGATTGCCATGTTATGACACTAAATTCTATTTAACTAACCACTATTACCTTCTTCAAAGAAGAGTGCAAAACTGGAGAACATCCACTTAAGTGAAGTTAGCCAGGTTCAGAAAGCCAAAGGCAGCATGTTTTCTCTCATATGTGGAATACAGACCCAATGCAAATACAACCAATACTATGAAACCGGTCACACTAAGGGGAGGTCACTAACGAGGGAGGGAGGGCAAAAGAAGGAAGTTAAGAAGGTGAACATGGCTGATGTACTTTTTATACAAGAATGAATACAGAATTTTTAAACCTACTGAAATCACCATAAGAAGAGGACTAAGGAACAAAGGAGAAAAATAGAGGGAATGGACCAATTTGGGTTATAATACATACATGCATGGAAATGTCACAAAGAAACTCTCTAAATAGCTATCTTAAACAAAAATGTCTTTTTTCAAAAATGGAAAACAGGAAGGTAAAACACGTCCTGTCTGAGGGCTGGCATCATTGGGGGGGGGGATATGAGGAAAGGGTGTAGGAGGTGAATATGGTAGAAATATTATGTACTCAGGTATGAAAATGGAAAAATGAGACCTGCTGAAATTACTCCAGGAATGGGGGGAAGACAAAGGAGAATGATGGAGGGGGTGAATTCAACTATGATATATTGTAAGAACTTTTGTAAATGTCACAATGTAGCCTCAGGACACCAATATAATAAAAAATAAAATACCCTAAGATACACATTTTTAAAAAAGGAAGAATAATGTCAGAATAAAAGGTAGTCTTCAATCAATTTTTGCGAATTCCTATTTACATTGACCTCATACTTTACAGTTTCAGTAAAAATTCTCTCGGGCACTGACATTTGGGGGTATGAAGGTAATGCTCTCCTATTTGGAATCCTCGCTTACTTTTCTCCTACTGCAGCCTACTCTTCACTACTATAGCCAGTGGGGTCACTGGCCCTGGGGCAGTCTGGCCGTCCTGCCATGAGGATAATCACACAGCCTATGCAGAAGGCTACTTGGTGAGGAACTGAGCTCTCAGGCTAACAACTAGTGAGGAAACGACGCCTCCAAACTCACCTGAGTGAGCTTAGAGGCAGATCCTCTGTACAGTCACACCTTGAGGTGACCACAGCTCTAGCCGACAACCTGACTGCTACCTCATGAGAGGCCTTGAGCGAGAACTTGAGCTCAGCTGCTCCTAGATTTCCAATCCCCAGAGAGTGCGGGACATGATGTTTGTGGTTTCAGCTGCTAAGTTTTGCAGTAATTTGTTATGCAGCAAACGATAACTAAGACATGTTGTCTTGCCAGGTAAGAAAATATCTTTTTTCCCTCTTTGTGTTGTTACTGATAATACTGGATCTCCAATTCTTGCAGCTCTATGGAACTACTGCTTGTCAGCCTTTATACTAGCAAGAAAGAAGTGGTCACCCTTTCTTCCAGTTCTGTTCATGTCATTGCTTTCTGCACTTTTCTTCCAGCATTCATTATATACTCCGTTCATTCATTCATTCACTCATTCAATAAACTCTTACTGAATGCAAAATACTGCAATAAACCCTGAAGAAACAAATATGAATATGATAAAATCCTTACTTTTAAGGGCTTCAATCTAGTGAAGCAGTTCAGTTGTGAGATGGCAGTGCAGAATATAATACAAGATGGCTCAGGGTATTATGGGATCAGAAGCTACAGTGGGTGAGGGGGTGGGGGGGTGGGAAGAGGAGTTGGGAAAAGCTTCCTAGAGGAAGGGATGACTGAGCTCAGGCTTAATGAAAGATGGTGGGAATATGCTGGGTAGAAGAGAAGATAGGGCATTTCAGTCAGGAGAACACTCAGTAGTTGGAACTAGCTACAAATTAGGTTCTGTCGGTGAAGTTAGAAGGGAGACAGCAAACAAAAGGTTTTTGTGGTAAGCACAGGAATTTGGGCTTTGACAGATGACTACAAACCACTAAGGAGTTAAATCTAAGAGGACGTGAGCATATTTCATTTTGAAACGTTCTACAGAGGCAGTGGAGGAAAGAGGCTAAGGGGTTATGGGGTGGTGACTAAGAAAGCAAAAGACTAGACCAATAAGGAGCAGCATGTTTAAAAACAAAAGTGGCAGGGCTGGCAAAGTAGCTCAAGTGATAGAGCATCTGCCTAGCAAGCGTGAAGCCCTGAGTTCAAACCTCAGAACGACATAAAAAAAACAAAACAAAAAAAACTATAAGGGGCTGGTGGTGGAATTGGATCTGGAAGAGATTAAAAGTTAAAAAGAAAGGTTTTAGAATGAAAAAACTGAAGAAAGCTTCAAAGACCTCCAAATTTTTTGGCTAGTAGAGCCATGCCACATATCAGATGATAATCATAAATTCTTTTACTGAGAGCTTACTAAGTGCAAAATGCTTTTTCCAGGTCCTGAGAATTCAACTAAGAACAAGACAAGTCCTGCTCTAAAAGAATTTACACTGTAGGAGGGAGTTTATACAGACAAACAGAATACATAAATAAGTTGCAGTACATGAAAAGAAGGAAACAAATAAGGGGCTTACAGAAAAATGGCAGCAATAAATTTTGACAGAGGAGGTAAAGAAGATCTCTCTGAGCAGGTGGCATTTAATGTATGACCTGAAGGATGTGGGAAAAAAAAAAACAGTGTGTGATAAATGAGTACATGTGTACATGGAAAGTTTTGCATTGGGGAGCAACAAGTACTCCAGGAGAGGACACAGCAGGTATGAAAGGCCCGGAGTGACAAAGTGCTTTACAGGCAGGAGATCAATTAACTAGACTGGTATGGTGAAATGCTGAGAGTGGCAGACAATGACTTTGCCAGGTCAGACTGTATAGGTGTTTGAAAGTCAAGCTGATGAGAATGATCCTACCAAAAAAGAGCTGATTTATGCAAGAGAGAAGGGAGAGGGAGAGAACTTCAGGTGAGCAGCCTGGAGATCCTGAGCAGTAGTGGAGAAACTGTGCTGCTTGCATTTTATACAATGAGAAGAAGTTGGGTTCATTTTCCCAAAGATCTGTAGGCTTTTTGGTAGGAAAGTGAGGAGGTTTAGATGTAATGACTTCTATTTTCTTAAGTATAAACAAAGTATAAGAGTGACAGTGTGGGGACAGAGTAAGAGAGGCATGACAAGACAATAAAGGTATGAAGTGATCATCTTGAGGAGGGGGGCATTAGGGAGTGGGGACTAATAAGGGAAACAGGAGAGTTGTTGACAGTGTTAAGTGCCACCTTGAGGGGAAAGTCATGAGGAAAAACTGAGGTCACATAGCATATTGTGGTATATTGCTGAATAATGTTCAGCTGCTCAATGAAGAAACAAAGAAGGTAGACAGCAGGGCTCATCTTGGGTTTTGCTATGCCAACTGTATCTGTAAATTAAAGTCACCCAGGTTTCTAAATAACAATTGTTTCAATGGATTGGGTTTGGAAGACAGACCACGGTGGGCTTCACTCACTTTCATTTAGAAGTGAATGAAACTGGGATGGGATGCAGTCAGTGGTAGAGTGGTGGCCTAGCAGGCACAAGACCCTGAGTCCGATCCCGAGAACCACAAGAAAACAGAAGTGAATGTGGAGGCATGGAATTGTAATGACTCTTTCAATAATATTGCTATGGGGAAGAGCTGGACAGGGAAACAGAGGGGAAAAGTGGTTAATAAAAAATATCCTACTACAAGCAGTAGTAGTCAGTTTTCAGTCACCATAACCAAATACCTGAGATAATTAACAAGAGAAAAGGTTTATTTTGGCTCACATTCACATTAGACATTCTATTCCATGATCAAGTGAACCCACTGGTTTTAGGCCGTTGGTACGGGTACCTGGATGCAATAGCAGGGTGTACATGGTGGCACAAACTACTCACCTCATGGCCAAGAAGCAAAAGAGGAAGTGGTAGGGGCCCCACAGTGCCTTTTGTGGGCACATCCCCAATGACATAAGTATCTTTCATAGGTCCCACCTCCTAAAGGTACCACTGTCTCCCAATAGTGTCACCCTGAGGACTAAGCCTTTGGGGGACATTAGACATCTAAACTATAGCACATGCAAAAGGATAAAATTAGGGGACAGGAAGAAATTAAAGGTATAGGAGAGCAAAGGCCTAATAAATAGGTCATCCTTTGTAGAGAAAGGGAAACTAGAATCAGGAGAACAGGGAAGTATTTGTCTTAAAACAGAAGAGTAATGATGCAGGTAAATGTGTGATAATATCATTAACAACAAGAATCACCAACATTTATTTAGAATTTATTTTATACCAGGTACTACTGTTAAAAGTTTATATGGACCACTTTATTCTTACAATAACCCTGCTATACCAAGAAAGATTAAGTAGTTTGTCCAAGACCACCTATAACAGTAGAGCCAGGATTCAAACCCAGGATATATGGTTCTAGTCCCTAGTCCTTAACTTTTACACTATACTGTAAGTGGGAAGAGGAAGAAATTAAAGTTGAAAAGTTCATAACTAATTTTCATGTTCTTTGTAGTTTTGGAGGCAAGGTCAACTGGGAAGCAGGCAGAAAGTGAGGTGGTAAGGTTTTGGAATAGTTACTTAAGGAAACATGAAAGGATGCTTCCAGAAGACTGCTATGTGGTGCTCAGGGGCTAGCCGTGGTAGGACTCCATAACATATATACAAACATGAATCCATATAGTTGAGTGATCCCCACCCCCTTCCTTGGGTTCTCAGCAGCAGGGGTGAGAGGAATTAAAGAAAGCACTTACTTGTCATATAGTGTGGAGGATACTCTGATGGAGGGACACACAGGGAACTACAGGAGCAAAAGTGAAAAGCAAGTGTAATGAAGGAATACGGAGTGGGCAGGACGGGTATGACCATGGAATGGGTTGCTAGAATGAGGGGTGGTAAAGATTGACAACTGTCAAGGTCAAGGAAAATGGCAGGGATTTGGATGGTTTCCTGTTATAGTAATTGCAAAGAACAAATATTTATTCAAGGTCACCACATATGACACTGCAACAGGTAAAATAAAAAGAGAGGCACAGTACCTACCTGGTTTTTCTTCCCCACTAAGCTTTCTAAAGGTTATGGAAAATGTTTTTGGTAAGTTATATCTATCCTAGTGCTTTTGCTCAATGAACACTGGATGAATTAACATCATCTCTTACATTAAGTGCTATATCACAGTATACAAACTGGTGTCTTGTGGATTGACTCAGACTCACAGGAAGTGATCTTTTTGTTTTGCAGTGCTTAGAATCTGAGCCAATATTTTAAAACCAATGAGATTTCACAGAAAATCTGAGTTTTAGTCTCCCTCAAAAAACCATAACTTGACAATGGGCCTATATTCCATACAACAAAAAAGGCTGGAGGTGTATAGTGTGACCTCTTAAGGAATATGGTAGCTTTAGTATCTTTCTTTTGGTCTCCCTCTCAAAACCTAAGCCAGTCTGAAATGCCAGATTCTCCATGAGTCACTGAAATTACCTTCGCTTCCTTCTGCATTTGCCCATTTCCTTTCTCTTAAGGAACCCAGTCCTCCCTTCTTCTTCCAACTGTCCATTCCCAGTACATAGTATATTAGTTATTAGTATCCATTTATGACTGCCTAAGTTTTTTCAAAGGCAAGAATAGTGACATGAAGAATCTGGACTTTGTTAATACATACTTTCTCAGTAAATACCTTCTCTTTTAGGGAAATATCCCCTGACTTTTGTTGATGTTAGAAAAATTTAGTCCAAAAGCCAGAAATCACTGGGCATTTAATTTCATAACTGTAAAATCACTGTAGACATTACTGTTACAAACTTAGTTTAACCAGGAAATAATACACTCAGTGCCTGAAGAATCTTTAGAGCAGTTCATGAAACATTCATCAGTTGGAAAAGTTATAGCAAAGGATAATAATACTATTGAAAGGGCTATAGAGGGAGGCAAGTAATATATTATGGGTTCAGAAGGGAATGTCTATCAAAGAAACCATGCATACACAGCTCTTGAGGGGAGGTTTTGGTAAGCTAGTCTTCCAAATTTTTATCTCTGTCCTGAGCTGACAGCCATAAATACAACTACCCAGTTGTCAATATACACTTGGACCTCAAACTCAACCAATCCACAATAGGCTCATCATAAAGTGTGTTTTCCTCCTGTGTTCTCTTTCTGGGGATTATCAGGCCCCAATTACTCCACCAGAAACTGAAAAGTTGAGGCCAGGGCTGTGGCTCATGTTGGTGGTAGAGGGCTTGTCTACCACCATGTTTAAGACCCTGGATTTGACCCCCGGCTCAAATTAAATAAATGCAAATCTGTGTGTTATTCTTGGTTCCTTCCCCCACCATACTCAACCAAATTCTCCTGACTTTACAGCCTTAATCCCTTACTCAGGCCAGACATTTCTTGCTTGGATTATGACCACAACTTCCCAGTTGGTGGCCAAGTCTGTAGTCTTTCCAGCTCTAGCCAGCACCTGCATACTTTCTTCAGTCACTCTTCTGATTATCTCATTACCCTTAGTATAAAAATCTGTATTTCTAAAACGATCTTCATCAAGATTTACTTACTGGGTGGATGAAACATTGAAACATTTTACCAGTGATTCCCTCTCTCCAAGCACATCTGTATCCAAGATCTTCTGCTTCTTCATCCAATCTTGCCTATACAGCATTCTAACCTCAGTATGCTAATTTGGGGAAAGCCATTTTTGAAAACAAGATAATGGTTCACAAACACTTAGCAATAAAATCTCCCGTGTGTCACTGCTTTTTAATTCTTTCCGCCTAAGAAAGAATACTGAAAAGAATGAGTTTTCCCTGCCTCGTATGTAGACATTGTACTTAAATTATTTATTCACCTAGTTCTCCTCTGGACCCTAGGCCATTAGCTTATTTATCACTCTCTGGACACACAGAAGATGTTCCATAAGGCTGTCGCTATGTTAAGTGAGTGAAATCCATACGCAATTTGAGGGTGCCTTTCCCTCTGACTTCTGCTTAAAAAAGAATCTTTTTTATGATCATCCCATAATCAATCTGAAGTGGGGCAGGCAAGGAGCAACTGCCCCCCCCCCAAAAAAAAGGGTGCTGGCTCCCGAGGCACAGCTCCAGTTCCCCCGACGTCCAGCTGGTCGCCAGGGCACAAAAAATTATCTCGAGAAAGCGCAGTTTTAGGTCCATGTCCACTCGGGCGCCCCACGATTCCTTTCTCTGCGGTCTTCCCGATAAACACTTACATGGGTGGCCCAAATACTCTCCTCACTCCATTACTGGTCCCGTTTCAGAGTTTGGTGCCGCTGCAGTCGGTGCAGCGCCCAACACGGACCGCAAACTGCAGCAAAAATGCCCAGCAGCACCGCAAGCCAAAGGAGCAGCGGCCCGCGCGCTACCGTTCGAAGCCCCGCCCCGCCCCGCCGCCGGGCTCGCGACCCCGCGCCCTGCCCCGCCGCCTCTACCTGCAGGCCACATCGCCCGGAGCAACAATCTCCTTCAGGAGTGTGGCAGCCAGACATGGTCCGGATGAGGGAGGCTCGAGGCCACTAACCTCCGTCTGCCGCCACACCTGGTGCCCTGCTGGGCTAAAGCGATCAAGCCACAAGTGTAATCAGGCGACGCTGCGGACAGCTCGGGGGCGTGGCGGACAGGGCGGGAGGCGGGGTCGGGAGGGCCTCGCTGATTGGTAGAGCCTGCGGCGAATAGTACTGACTGAGAGGCGGGGCCACCGAGGCTGGAAGCGGTGCCAGGAGGGCTTGTATGAGAGATCTAAAGGCACGACGGGCGCCAGGGGGCGTGGCCACTCAGCAGAAGGCGGGACCTAGGAGGACCTTGAGGCTGGCCATCAGGCTGTGCTGCGGGCAGCCCCGGAGAAGGCCGGGAAGATGGCGGCCTCCTGGAGGCTGGGCTGCGACTCTCTGCTGCTGCGCTATTTCCTGGGCTTCCGCGGCCGACGAAGCCTGGGGCTGGCTAAGGGCGCTGTTCTGTTATCTGTCGGCCGTGGAGCTAGCTGGAGATGGTTTCACAGTGCGCAGTGGCTGCAGGGTGAGTGCCTGGGGCTTGTTTAGTTTCTCTGTAATGCTGAGCCATGGGCTTGGGTCAGGGGCATTCTTGATGCTTGGCCTGCGTCTGGGTGTAGCTGCCGCTTCTTTCTGTTCGCTTCCCGCTCTCCTAATGCATGCAGCAAAGGGCTGTCTTGGGACCTGGGAGAGCTTGACTCGATATCTGACTCCCTGGTTTGTATTGGTTTCTTGTGACCTTGCCTTGGAATTTGGGTTATTTCTGAGACACCGGTAGAGATCCATTTTAAACGCCCATCTCAGTTTTCTTTAGTGTCGTCAAGTATCTCTGATCAAGAAAAGCTGCTCGTGGTTGCTTAGATTCAGAAGCCACTGTTAGCCGTTCTTAATCATTACCAAGGCTCCTACCTACTGAGAAATCCAGGGTCTTCGAGGCCAGTTGGTTGCTGCACCTAATGACTGATAATTTACAAGACTTAATTTCTAAGTACCTATCGCATCACAGACATGACCAGGAGGATGCTTGAAATAAATCGTTCACTTGAAATAATGAAAACGTAGGATGAGAATCATACCAAAATTGTCTCTTAGTAATGATATTGGCACAAACAATAGTTCTTACAGTATTTAACAGGACAGTGTGTAAAATGGCTTGCTGGTTATTATTCTTCCTCATTTGGGGGAGTCTGGGTCAGGGAGTCTGAGTGCGGGGGCAGAGAATAGGGCAAACATTTTTAGTGACTGTTACCTGCCAGTCATATTCTTGGCCACTCCACAGAGTGAATTTTAATCTAAAAAATTTTAAGTGCGGTGAGCATTGCCTTCATGTTCTGAACTACCTGTGGCTGAGAAAATAAAAAAAAAAAGAAAAGCTTACATCAAGTCACTGTAAGATGAGTGCTTTGAGAGTTCTAAAGATTGGTTAATGGGGACAATTTAGTATCTTCAAGGGTAATGTTTAATAAAGTACTCCTTAGAGCATTGTTTTTTAGCAGTGTATATAGTATTCCCTCTTCCATCCCCCAGTTTGTTAGAAATTTCCTACACCCTAGAAATTCTGTCTCAGGTGGAGTTCAGGAACCTGCATTTTACAAACAACCCTAAGTGAGTTTTGATGTCTTATTTTGGACTATACTTGACTGCTGTAGGAAATCATGGGAATAATCTAGGACGTTCTTAACATTGTTTCTAAACTATCCTTTTAAGAATCTTTGAATGCTCTAGACAAAGAAAAGAGAATCTGTGATTACACACAAAAGTGTGCATGCAGTTTCAGGGATTTTCTTTAACACAATTTAATTGCTCCAGTCTTTAGAAATTCACTTAGGCACTCTATCTGATATGTCGACTTTTTACCTACTTCTAATCCCCTACCTGCAGACAAACATTGGGAAGAACTTGTCCAACAACTCTTTTAATAGCATCACTATGGGAGAGAGTACTACATTCCAAGGCAAGCTGAATGAATTACCATTGTTGCCACAAACTAGTGGCTTGAAACAACACGATTTCGTTCTCTCTTAGTGCTTGAGATCCTAAGTCCAAATGGATCTCACTAAGCAGGTGCTTTGTTCTTTCTTGGAGGTTCTAGGAGAGAAACTATTTTCCCGCTTCTGAGTACTTCTCAGATTCTTTGGTTCATGGTTCCCCTCCATCTTCAAAGTCAGCAATGGCTGGTTCGTTATTTATCACATTATCTCTTGTCTTGCCACTCCTTCCTTCCTTCTTTTTGATACTTGACCCCTCTGGGTAATGGATATTCTTCCCATCTCAAGGTCAGTTGATTAGCAACTTTACTTCCATCTTCTATCTTAGTTTTCCTTTGCTGTGTAACATAATGTTGATAGTTTCTGAGTAGTGGGATGCAGATCTTTGTGGGGAGTTGGGAGGAGTGTGTTAGCCTACATGTGAAGCTGTGTTGTTCCATACCTCTTAAGTTATTTGGAATTTTTGAACTGTTTTTTCCTAACACCAAGCCAGAATTTATGTACTCACTTTCATCTGCAGGTTTTTGTTTTTCCATGCTGGGTACTCATGGTAATCCTTGAACTTCTGTTTCATAAGACATAAATGTCCACAATGGTGTTTTTTCTCAATATATAGCCAGTTTTACTCTGAGTTTGGTACAAATTTTAGCATCATTATATAAAACTAAGCAACTGTTTGAATAACTAGACTATATAAATTACATACATTTATTTAATTTTTCTCTTTCACTTATCTATCTAGGATTTAAAAATCTATCTTTTGGAAGTACTCTTTGTGTTTTCATTTCCTTAAAAAGTGTTGGCAGCATTTTTATGAGCTATGACATAAACCAAGTGCTTAGCACTTGTTAGAATTTTTTATTTACTTCTAAAAATTTGGCATTGTTTGTATTTGTTTAGATAAAAATACAAAAGAGAAATTAAGCCATACAGCTATGTTGTTAGTGAACTAAATTGCATATTAAGTCCGACCTTGAAAAGGGTAACAAATGGATTGACTTCAATTAATCAGTGGACTGAGTGATTTACTCACTTAATCTTGAATACATGCTCATAAGAAAAACACACAACTGAGCAAAGGTGGGCTTTGGATAGCAAGAATGAAGTTGGGGAGTGGATCTGGGAATAATAAGCAACACTTATTGAGAGCTTACGATGTACTCTGCACTTCATATGAATGAACTCATGTAGTACTCAAAGCTGATGTTATGCCCTGGTGATGGAGTTTAGTTTAACCAATGTCTCCCTGACACCAAAGCCTATTCACTTAAGTACAGTCTGTCTTCATATCAACTGACTACTTGGTGATAGATACCAGCAAAACAGTGTCAGCATGCTGGTGTTTTACCATGTGTGTACCCTAAGTAAACACCTTTGCTTTCTTGTTTAATGATCCGGGGCATACTTTAATAATTGTGAAATAGTATTTCAGTGACATTTAGGATGTCACTTTCATTTTAGTATAATTTAAGATAAAAAGCTAGATTGTATAAAGGGTAGCAGTTCTATTTAAGTGAGTTAAAACATATGATAACCCATTGCTATCTTAAGTTTTTGAGATGCTACACTCTTAAGTATGCCTTTTTATTGTTATCTTGAACTTTCTTTGCTTTTTACAGTAAAATCTGTAAATCCCCCAACTGTCATGCATTTTGCTAGACTAAGTGAAGTGATGATTTCTTTTTTGCATTTGTTCCAAGATTGCAAAATAAACTGGGATTCATTGTAGAATTTTAATTTTATGGTTTAATACCAAGAACACCAGTGTTGCTAACCAAAACTTTTGCTGAAATGTTTGGATTGTTTCACTTAGGAAATATACTCTATAGCAATAACCTATTTAACATTTCTAACCCAGCCTGCTTTTAAAATATATCATTGTATACTTTGTGAAAGTATATAAAAGAATCAACAGATTCCCTAAACAGAATGGGAGTGTGTGTCGACTTATTTGGGTGGGCGTAGGCAGTATATTTACTGTAGCTGTTGAGCTGCTTGATACATTTCTGAAACTGTGTGACGATTCTTCTATTACATGAAACATTTCTAGGGAAGAATTGGAATTGGTAAATGTATCAGTCAAGACAATTTGCTTAGGAATCTCATGGTGGTTTTTAGAGCGCTACAAATCTATTTGAAAACTGATTTAACAAAAAAAAAACTCTATCACTTCTTCAGTAAAATATATACATGCAAAATGTTGTATGTGTCTCTAGGGAACTGTGATTCCCCCTGTAATTTACCCATAAATAACACCTTGTCTCCAGCCTATTTCCATAAACATTTTGGTCATTTCCTACAGAAAATAGTTGTACTTTCCTTGCAAGGATATTTAACATATCCCAGAGCAGGAAAGATGTATTTTAGTATAGAGGTTTCAGCTACAAACAAATGATAGTGGATACATGTACATATGTGATCACAACAAAGCCAGTGTTACAGGTTGAATATGAAATGTCCCACAGGCTCATGTGTTAGGGTGGCGCTTGGTTGCCAGCAATGGGATTTTGGGAAGTGACTGGATCCTGGGGATTCTGATCTAATCAATGGATTAATCTCTTGATGGATTTGTATTATGATGTTATTATCTGGAGGTGGCAGTCTAGTTGGAGGAAGTAGGGCACTGAGGGTGTACCTTTGGAGGAGATATCTTGTCCGCTGCCCCTTCTTCCCTGGCCCCTTTGCCTCCTGTCCAGCATGAAATGAGCTGATTTGCTCTACCTCGTGCTCCTTGCCATGATGCTCTGCCTCACTGTGCGTGGGTCCAGAAGCAGTGGAGCCAAGGGACCATGGGCTGAAGCCTCTGAAACTGAGCTGAAATAAATCTATCCTCCTTTTAAATGGCTTCTTTCAGGTATTTGGCACAGTGAGGGATGGGGAGGAAGGGAACTGACTAACAGAGCCAGTAATCTTGATTGAGATCTAGCCATGGCTTAAGTTTACTTGTGCATTTAGACTCATCAGACCTGTTCCTAAACTCTGTACTTCTTTTGCTTGTATTGTTCCTTCAAATGGAATGACTTTCTTTTGGCTTGTAATCTCTGTCATTATCTAGATGCTATCCTCCCAAATCTTTCCATATAATTGAGAAAGTCCAAGCAGAAAATAGCACTCACACAAGGGTAATTTGGGGAAAATTTAGTAAGTGGCCATTTTTGTGAGTTTCAACTGAAGAGATCGTGCTATACAAAGGAGCTATTTAAAACATCGTGTTACCACTACCTCATGGCTTCAAGAGGCACGAGAGGGCATGAGAAAGGACCTGGAAGAGAGAGACTGAAAGGAAGACCTCCAAGGGAATGGTGCACTGTAGTAGAGGATGCAGCCAGCTCACTCAGACCCTCAGAAGAGAGCTGGAAAAGAAATAACTGACCTCACTTCTTTCCTTTCGGTCTCCTACCTGTGCTGCCCATTGGCTGAACCCAACTGACCGCCAAATGCAAGGAAGCCAGGTCATGTTACTCCCACGTTAGTGTGGGGAAGGGAAAAGGGAACATAAGCCCCATGCATGCCAGACTTACTGCTACCAGCAGCTACA